AGTGGGGAGCTTCTCTCGGGCTTCTGGGCACAGCTTGGTGCGAGTCTGCTCCCTCTCGAGGCCCACTTGGAACGGCGTTCTGACCCCGGCCGTTGGACGACGGTGGTACACTTGAGGTGTGATTCCTGCCGTGGCCTCGGGGTGAGTCTTGGGGCTCGCACATGCTGGTGCCGTTGCCTCGAGGCATTCGAAGCTCTGTCAACAGCTTTGGCCAACGAATAGAGGGAGTAAGAAGGGGCGAAGCCCAGAGTGAGTGATCAACGTGAGTTGTGGCTCCCCTTTATTCCCGATGAGCTACCGCTCTAACCCCCGCCTGCACACACATGAACACGTTTACGGTCAATGTGTGGGCGAAGGGTTAATGAGCGAACGTTGGCCGCATCAGAATACATGGCAGCCTTTGTGGCCCGCCCACATCCGCCCTGTGCCATGCCGTCCAGGCATCTTCTCTGCCTGGCCTTTCTGCCTCGTTCAGTCTCGCGAGAGCTTCTCTCGGGCTCCTGGGCACAGCTTGGTGCGAGTCTGCTCCCTCTCGAGGCCCACTTGGAACGGCGTTCTGACCCCGGTCGTTGGACGACGGTGGTACACTTGAGGTGTGATTCCTGCCGTGGCCTCGGGGTGAGTCTTGGGGCTCGCACATGCTGGTGCCGTTGCCTCGAGGCATTCGAAGCTCTGTCAACAGCTTTGGCCAACGAGTAGAGGGAGTAAGAAGGGGCGAAGCCCAGAGTGAGTGATCAACGTGAGTTGTGGCTCCCCTTTATTCCCGATGAGCTACCGCTCTAACCCCCGCCTGCACACACACATATATATATACGAGCATATTTGTACATACGTGTGTATGCGTACACACATGCACATCATACAGAGATGTGTATCACGGAGTTGTTGCGAGTCGTCGCGTGCGTTTGGAATAATCGCCCGTCCAGCCGCCCTGTGGCTTGCTTCCGCCGGGCCCGGCCCTCTTCCGTGTGCCCAGGGGGCCCCCGCGAAGGCCCCGACGCGGGGCGGAGCCGCCACCACCTTTTTTCCCCGTCTGGCGTGGAACCCTCTGCCCAGACTCTCGTGGGTCGATTTTTTTTTTCTGCCGCTCGCGGCCTTGGGCCTTCGAGGGGCATCGAGGATCCTGGCAGTTCGGGCCTCCAGGGCCCCGGAGAGCCGCCGTCGATCCTCTGTCGTCGGGCCCGCGCGGCGGAAGCCTCCGGAGGCCCTCCGCGCTCCTGGCCCGCTGAGGCCCCGGGGAGGGTCGATCGTCGATCGTCGTCGATCTTGGGGCCCGTGCGGCTGCCGCGTCGTCAGAGCGCCCCCCCAGAGGAGGAGGAGGAGGAGGAGGAGGATGAGCAGGACGAGTAATTAGGACGAGGAGGACGAGGAGGAGGATGAGCAGGACGAGTAATTAGGACGAGGAGGACGAGGAGGAGGAGGAGGCCGAAAAGGACGAGGAGGAGGAGGAGGAGTAGAGTAATAATAATAATAATGATAATCATGATAAATACTGATAATAGTAGTACTCATACTAATACTAATAAGAAGAAGAAGCATCGTAATAGTAGTAATGATATTAATCATAATAAAAATAATCATAATATTAATACTTATAATAACAATAGTAATAATAATAAAAATAGTAATAATAATAACGATACTAATAATAATAAAGATAATAATACCAATACTACTAATAATAATGATGATAATAATAATAATTATAATGATAATGATAATAATAATAATGACAGCAACCAGAACAACAATACTACTACTACTACTACTACTACTACTACTACTACTACTACTACTACTACTACTACTACTACTACTACTACTACTCATCATGGTAGTACCAAGAATAACAATAATAGTAACCCACATAATCATAATCATGATACTCATAAGATTAATGATGATCTGAACAATAAGAATCATACTAATAAGAAGAGGAGGAGGAAGAGGAGGAGGCGGAGGAGGAGGAGGAGGAGAAGGACGGTGAAGGAGGAGGAGGAAGAGAGGGGGGGAGGAGGAGGAGGAGGAGGAGGAGGAGGATGAGGAGGAGGAGTAGGAGGAGGAGGAGGAGGAGGAGGACCAGTGCAAATATCCAAGAGTCATCAACGATGTTGGAATTTCAGCTCCCTCTTCATAGGCCCCTAGAGCGGTTCATGTCCATTGAAGGAACTGCCCCGTTGTAAGACAGCCTTTTGAAGACCCTGAAGCGTGCGTAAATGTTGGTCTCGGGATTCCCACCCCACGGATCAACCTGACTGTTGCGTCTTGGTGATCCTAAATCGTACCAGAACGCCATTCTTGGGATTCCAAACCCCGCGAACCAACGTAGCTGTTGCGCCCGCGTAGTCTGGAATCTTTGCAAACTCCATCTGGTACGTTGATCATGGGACTCCGTGAAACTCTTGTAGAGATAAAAGAATGTGCGTGGTACTAAGGCGAGAGCCACATTTTGAGAAGGAACCGCATCAATCTGAAAAGCTCCTTTTTGAATAAACAAACGCTAAGGTGCGCGACGCACGAACGAGAGCAACATTTTGAAAACGACTCGCCCCAATTCGTGAAGCGCTTGCAGATGCTTTAAACGAATGTGCGCGGCGCTAAGACGATAGCCACATTTGACAACCATTCGCCCTCAATCCGTGAAGCTCTTGCACATTCCTGAAACGAATGCACGCGGCGCTCAGGCGGGAGCCACATTTTGGAAACGGCCTGCACTCCATCTGTGAAGCTGCTGCCAACGTTAGGCTTCAGAGTCATGAGTGGAGAGGAAGTCAGGCGAAACGCCTGGCCCAGCCTACAAGCTTGCCCCGGGGTGCGACAGGGAGAAGGTTTTGATAAGGAGAAGGAATGGCGGAGGAGGAGGAGAAGGAGGAGGAGGAAGAGGAAAAAGAGAGGAAGGAGAAGAGGAGGAAGAGGAACAAACGATGAATACTATTAATAATACGAAGAAGCGAATAGTAAGAATAAGAACAGTGTTAATATACACAGGATAAGTGAGCATTCTTTTATTATTTGTTTTTGCTTTCGGCGGAACGCCCCCCCCCTCGCCCCCCCCCCGTAGAGAAGTTCCGGGCTGATTTTGGCACCTGCTTCAATCGATCGGACGAACTACAGGGGCCGGCGCCCCCCCCCCCCTCCCCCGGTAGAAACTCGAATCGCTGATGTGTGCAACTGTGCGCATTTTATCGTGCTACTCTTCTGGAACCACAACGAAAGGGCTCAGGGGCGCCAGACCCGATCGCCAGAAAGCATGCCTCCGGCTGGGCCCTCCCCTGTTATGCCAGCGACGGCCTCGTGGAATCATGAATAGGTGATCCCTAGCAATTCTGGCACAGGCTTGCCAAATCACGCATAGCCTTGGCGCAGCCCCGCGCATCCGCTGCGCGATTCCCCCATGGGGGGTCCCCCCTAGGATTCCCTCATCGGCATCTCCCACAGGATTCCCCACATGATTCAATCGGAGGCATTGACTACGGGCCGAGAGCCGGACCCCCCCCCCTCCCCCCCATGCGCCTAAAGCCGGAACCCAGAATAAAAAAATGCTCACTAATCATAATGCGAAAAAGACAAATATTCATAGTACTTAGAAGAATAACAAGAAAAAGAGGAGGAGGAAAGAGGAGAGTGGAGGGAGGAGGGAGGAGGGAGGAGGGAGGGAGGGAGGGAGGGAGGGAGGAGAGGGATGAGGGATGAGGAGGGAGGAGGGAAGAAGGATGGAGGAGGCAGGAGTGAGGGAGGAGGAGGAGGAGGAGGAGGAGGAGGAGGAGGAGGAGGAGGAGGAGGAGGAGGAGGAGGAGGAGGAGTAGGAGGAATAGAGGAGGAGGAGGAGGAGGAGCAGAAGGAGGTCGTACCACCTCGGGGCGTGCGTGCGCGGTGGTCCTCTCGGCCCTCGCGGCGCGGGGGATGCCGTGAGGGCGCTCATTCGTTCAGCAGGAGGAGGACGGGTGAGAGGAAAGAATGACGACGAAGGGAGGTGGAGTGGACGACGGAGGATGATTGACGACGATGGACGACGATGGACGACGACCGACGGACGACGGAGGACGACGGACGACGACGGACGACCGACGACGACGACGACGACGGACGACCGACGACCGACGACCGACGACGACACCGACGACCGACGACCGACGACCGACGACGACGACGACGACGACGACGACGACGACGGCGACGGACGACGACGGACGACGGACGACGGACGACGACGGACGTCGACGGACGACGACGACGACGACGACGACGACCACGACCACGACGACGACGACGACGACGACCACGACCACGACGACGGCGACGACGACGGCGACGACGGACGACGACGGACGACGACGGACGACGACGACGACGACGATGACAACGGACGACGATGACAACGGACGACGACGACGACGACGACGACGACGACGGCGGCGACGACGACGACGACGACGACGACGACGACGACGACGACGACGACGACGACGGCGACGGCGACGGCGACGGCGACGGCGACGGCGACGGCGACGGATGGACGGACGGACGGACGGACGGACGGACGGACGGACGGAGGACAACGACGACGACGACGACGACGCTGAGGGCCCCTGACATCCGACGTTGCGAAGAAGATGCGACATCGCGACAAATCACGACCAGAGTCCCAGGCATTCTCTTGCTGCCGCGTGCTTCCGAGCCAGACCGGCCAGGGAAGGCCCGGCACCGGGCAGCCAGGCAGAAGCCATTGCGACGATCGGACCTCGGGAGCCGCAGAGGGGCCGCCGACCGGACCGCCGGAGGCGCCACCGAGGGGGCCCCCGAAGGGGCCGCCGCGGCGCCCGCGAGCCGAACGGGCCGAAGGGGCAGCCGAAGGGGCCGCCGAGGGGGCCGCCGAGGGGGCCGCCGAGGGGGCCGCCGAGGGGGCCGCCGAGGGGGCCGCCGAGGGGGCCGCCGAGGGGGCCGCCGAGGAGGCCGCCGAGGGGGCCGCCGAGGGGGCCGCGCCCGTGGCCGGCGCCGAGGACTCCTCGACGCACGGCGGCCGGGCGGGCGCCGCGCCGCACCCGCTGGAGCACGCGCACAAGGCCGTTTGGGGGGGAAGGGAAGCGGGCCAGGACGAGGATGCACATCCCGGGCGTCGCTAGAAGTGCCCCTGGCCCAAGGTGCCTCCAGCTTTTCGCTCCATTTTGAAGCCCCTGAGGCCCTCTGGGCCTCGTGAGGGGTGCTCTGGAGGCCGTCTGGGCCACCCCGAGAATCCTGGGGGTACCCTGGGCCAGGGGCACTTTTAGCAGCACCCGACGCATGGGTGCGGATAGGTTCAGCATCTCTGAGATCCGGCGGCCGTTCGTTTGGACGCGGGAAGCGGGTGCGGGAAGCACGGGCACGATGCCCAGCAACAGATGCTGCTGTCCAAAACCGACAGCGGCCGCTGTCGGGCAGGCAGCCTTCTGTCTGAATTGGACAACGCCCGCGGTGGCATGGAGAGCGAATCATGTCGAAAATATACAGACAAAGCTGTCGGCTTTGCACCTGTTCTTTCCGTACCTAGTCCGACCGTCCCGAGTCCACGACGATCCGGGCACCCCAGGAACGCTCCTGGACGACCGAATGCCTGGCACCTGCTCCCTAACGTTGCCCCCGAAGATCTCCGCAAAGGTGCGCCCCCCACGGTCGGGAACTTTGGCTTCGCGTGTCGCTCCGCGGGTTCTGGCCCACCGTGTTGTGGCGCGACACACTATCTACGTCCCAACACCCGAGCGTCACCATCCCGAACCTTTCCCGGCATCCCGCCCCGCGGAGCGGAGCGACACGCTATCCGCTTGCAGGGCAGGCCGCCGCTGCGACACGCTGAGCGGAAGTTCCTGAACGCGACGTTGCCCCTGAAGATTTCCGCAGAGATGCTGTGTGCTCCAGCGGGTGCGGCGCCTGCTGGGGCTCGGAATTCGAAGGATGTTTGCAGCCAGCTGAGCCCCAACGGGGGTGTCCCATACCCCAGCGTCGATAGGATCCGCTCATGGAGAGGGCCTGCAATTCGTCGCAGATCCGCAGAGTTGCCTTCCCCCCAGGACGGGCTAGGACGAGGATAACTCGATTCCAGAACGTTTCGGAACGCTCTCAGACCTTTCCGGAACGCTCTGAAAAGGCCGCGGCGCCCGATACGTCTTCACCCCACGTTTATCGCTCCCTGTTCGCTGGGAAACACTCGAGAGGTTCGGTGCTCGCTGATTTAGGTGTTTTCCTATGCTCTCGGCGGTTTTCCAGCCTCGGGATGCTTTCCAGCAGTTGTGCCTCGCAAGGAGCGATCTGAGAGTGCCCGGATTTGTCCGAACGGCCGCCAGACAGAGAGCTGAGTTATGGCCCGAAAGCCCAGGGGGGTAACTCCTGAGATTTCCGACCGTATGGTTTTTCAAATGGGCGCGGTTTTTCCTCGATTCCGACGTCTGGAGGCTATTACCAGGCCGCGGGGCAGCAAACATGGATCCGGGACGAAAAACGATTCCCCGGGAAGCTGAGCCCGCGGATTGAGCACATCGCATCGGCGGATTTCAGAGTCTGCGGAGATCAGTTCCCGCCGGCTCCCCCTTCGCATCCCGAGAATGGAGGAGGAGGGAGGGCGTAGTCGGCCTCTTCCGTCGTCCTCCGTTTCCCTCATATTTTGAATTTGGATTCTCTCGCTTTTTCTAGAGATTATTGTTCCCCACATCCTAAGTGGGGCTCTTGTTTTCTCTGCACACCCTCCGCGCAGGATCTCCTCCTCCTCCTCCTCCTCCTCCTCCCTCTCCTCTGCTCTTCTTTGCTTCCTCCTCCGCATCATCATAACCATCACCATCACTCCCCACTCATCATCATCATCATCATCATCATCATCATCATCATCATCATCATCATCATCATCATCATCATCATCATCATCATCATCATCATCATCATCATCATCCATCACCATCAGCATCACCATCACCATCGCACGATCACTCACCATCATTGGCATCGAACGATCATCATCATCATCATCATCATCATCATCATCATCATCATCATCATCATCATCATCATCATCATCATCATCACTACTCGCTGACCTGAGGCCTGAATATGGAGGAAGTATCAGGCGGGAGCCTCGTCTGTGAGTGAATTGTGAGGAAGTCTCAGGCGGGAGCCCCCTCCCTATGGGGCCCGCACTTCATGTTCGAATCCGAGCGGGTCATCCGAAACGTGCAACTGTCGTCACTTTTGGGCTCTTGAGACCTGCATATGGAGGAAGTCTCGAGCGGGAGCCTCGTCTGTGAGTGAATTGTGAGGAAGTCTCAGGCGGGAGCCCCCTCCCTATGGGGTCCGCACTTCATGTTCGAATCCGAGCGGGTCATCCGAAACGTGTAACTGTCGTCAATTTTGGGTTCTTGAGACCTGAATATGGAGGAAGTCTCGAGCGGGAGCCTCGTCTGTGAGTGAATTGTGAGGAAGTCTCGGGCGGGAGCCCCCTCCCTGTGGGGCCCGCGCTTCATGTCCGAATCCGAGCGGGTCATCCGAAACGTGCAATTGCCGTCACTTTTGGGCTCTTGAGACCTGAATATGGAGGAAGTCTCGAGCGGGATCCTCGCCTGTGAGTGAATTGTGAGGAAGTCTCAGGCGGGAGCCCCCTCCCTATGGGGCCCGCGCTTCATGTTCGAATCCGAGCGGGTCATCCGAAACGTGCAACTGTCGTCACTTTTGGGCTCTTGAGACCTGCATATGGAGGAAGTCTCGAGCGGGAGCATCGTCTGTGAGTGAATTGTGAGGAAGTCTCAGGCGGGAGCCCCCTCCCTATGGAGCCCGCACTTCATGTTCGAATCCGAGCGGGTCATTCGAAACGTGCAACTGTCGTCACTTCTGGGCTCTTGAGACCTGCATATGGAGGACGTCTCATGCGGGAGCCTCGTCTGTGAGTAAATTGTGAGGAAGTCTCAGGCGGGAGCCCCTTCCCTATGGGGCCCGCACTTCATGTTCGAATCCGAGCGGGTCATCCGAAACGTGCAACTGTCGTCACTTTTGGGCTCGTGAGACCTGCATATGGAGGAAGTCTCGAGCGGGAGCCTCGTCTGTGAGTGAATTGTGAGGAAGTCTCAGGCGGGAACCCCCTCCATATGGGGCCCGCTTCCCGAGGCGCTGGCCGAGGCGGCGACGGCGCTGAGGAACATGGATTTGCTTGCCCCGACGAGGGGGAAAGGGGAGGTGCACATGGAGAAAAGGCAGGGGGATGAGGAGGGAAGGGGCATGGGGGAGGCCGACGACGAGGAGGAGGTGGCGCGAGAGGAGGAGGAGGAGGAGGAGGAGGAGGAGGAGGAGGAGGAGGAGGAGGAGAATGATGGGGAGGAAGAGAAATAGAAGGGGGAAGAGAGGGCAGTGCAGGGGGCGAAAGGAGAGGGTGTCCGCCAGGGGGGGGGGAGGAACGGGCAAAGGGTAAGCTAAACAGATTCTCGTGTGGGGTCCCACCGTCGGAATAATTCTGAACGAACACTTGTGCGAAATATCGTACATTTGGCTCAAGGCACTTGTGAGGATTTGACGCAGCGGGCGTATTCGCGGAAAAGATCGCACGCGCCTCTCGCCTAGCGCGCGTACCACTATCCATTCGCATGTACTTGTCAGAGCGTTGCAGCTATGTCGGACGACATCGTGGAGTGCCCATCCGTTTACAGGGTTCGTATGCAGGATCCCCCAGGGTTAGGAAATCAGAGCAAGGGCTTCGCTGATTCGGCAAAAGTTATTCCCCACATCCTAAGTGGGGTTCTTGTTTTCTCTGCACACCCTCCGCGCAGGATCTCTCGTCCTCCTCCCTCTCCTCTGCTCCTCTTTGCTTCCTCCTCCGCATCATCATCACCATCACCATCACTCCCCAGTCATCATCATCATCATCATCACCATCAGCATCACCATCACCATCGCGCGATCACTCATCATCATCGGCATCGGACGATCATCATCATCATCATCATCATCATCATCACTACTCGCTGACTCACCACTTCGTCCCCATCATCATCACCACGATTTACCATCAGAATCGCACGATCAATCACCATCAGCACTCATCATCACCACCATCATCATCATCATCATCATCATCACGTCGTCATCATCATCACCACCACCATCATCATCATCATCATCATCATCATCATCAATCATATATCATCATCAAACACCGTCGTCATCATCCCATCATCATCATCCACCAAAAGGGAGCCTCGTCTGTGGGTGAATTGTGAGGAAGTCTCAGGCTGGAACCCCCTCCCTATGGGGCCCGCAGATCATGTTACTAATCCGAGCGTGTCATCGGATTCCTATAACTGTCGTCACTCTTGGGCTCCTCAGGTCTGAATTTGGAGGAAGTATCAAGCCGGAGCCTCGTCTGTGAGTGAATTGCGAGGAAGTCTCAGGCGGGAGCCCCCTCCCTATGGGGCCCGCAGATCACGTTATTAATCCGAGCGGGTCATCGGATTCCTGTAATTGTCGTCACTTTTGGGCTCCTCAGGTCTGAATTTGGAGGAAGTATCAGTCGGGAACCTCGTTTGTCAGTGAATTGCGAGCAAGTCTCAGGCGGGAGCCCCCTCCCTACGGGGCCCGCAGATCACGTTATTAATCCGAACGGGTCATCGGATTCCTGTAACTGTCGTCACTTTTGGGCTCCTCTGGTCTGAATTTGGAAGCAGTATCAAGCGGGACCCTCGTTTGTGAGTGAATTGTGAGGACGCGTCAGGCGGGAACCCCCTCCCTATGGGGCCCGCAGATCATGTTACTAATCCGAGCGGGTCATCGATTCCTGTAACTGTCGTCATTTTTGAGCTCCTCAGGTTTGAATTTGGAGGAAGTATCAAGCGGGAGCCTCGTCTGTGAGTGAATTGTGAGGAAGTCTCAGGCGGGAGCCCCCTCCCTATGGGGCCCGCAGTTCACATTTGAATCTGAGTGGGTCATCCTCAAACCTGTAAAAGTCGTCACTCTTGGGCTCCTGAGGCCTGAATATGGAGGAATATCAAGCGGGAGCCTCGTCTGTGAGTGAATTGTGAAGAAGTGTCAGGCAGCCCAACGGAACCACCGAGGGGAT